CCCCAAAACCCCAAAACCCCAAAACCCCAAAACCCCGGAGTGTGAATTCACGGTTGAGATATCATTAATTCAATTATCTTAAGTTATTCAGTTTGCTAGACAAAGTAATCCTTCTGGAGTAAGATGGTTTGGGAGGTTGATTCTTAGAGGCTTGATGAGATGCAATGGGAACGTTGCTTCTGCTCATGCTTGAGGACTGGTTGTTGATACTTGGAGAGGGACTCGGGTTATGGTGATTAAGGCGCTGAGGTTCTCTATTACGACAAGAGGGCTCTTTGGGAGCAATAATTTGCTGCTTATTCTTAGCTTTCCATTTTTTTATGCGAATTACTATTGACTTTATTAAGAATGATAATCATATAAAGCTTCCAATAGTTGGAGAACCCATGAATATAGTTGTATAAAGTCCCTCATAGAATGGAGTCCAGGCTTCCTTTGTGTTTAGCCATAATAACAGGACTGCCATACTACAGAACAGAGTTTGGTTTATGATTTCTATGATATTGTCTTGAGGATTCTCCAATGGTCTTACAATAATTAAATAAAGACAGTAAGCAATGTTGACTAAATAGAAGCAAGTTGCTCTGTCATACGAACGAGCAGATTGCCCAAATATGAGCAATGAAGTAAGTAATACTCTCATCAGCATAAACATGCTAGAATAGAGCTTCGAATATTTTGTTGGCTTGACCCCGTTAAAATACTCAATTCATAGCCAATACTTTTCTTTGTCTAACTGAGGAAATGATAAGTAATACATGATGAATGACAGAATAAACAACACGCTTGTGCACAGTCAGAACATGACACAGAACCCAAACGATACTATTGTGATTATTGTATCAAGATTGAGGTTGTATAGCTCTGAAAATATTGATAGAGTTGTAAATACAAATGCTTGTATGAATATCCTTATGTAGATATTAAATGTGAAGAACTTGAACAGCTTCTTGGTAAATTTCTTTCATTTTCTATTATTTGAGTTTTCTGTTGACCTATATCATAAAAATACACCAATGTTAGTGGCCCCGATTAGCATAATAATAACCATGAGGGATAAATAGTTAACAACTGAACTGCCAGACCTCATGCCAAGGCTGTTCAAATACCCATCAGATTGAGGATATGATACCCAGTCAGTAAGTTCTTCAACAAAAGGAATATCCTTGAACTTTATGAAATCGAATGAGAGCATTGTGAAGCCCATCTCGCTCAAAAATGCTAAAACTTTGGGTGAGAAGTAGTCAGGAACTAGAGGTAGCAATATTGCCAGTTGTAGGCTGTTCATGATGCTAAACATTGAGTTAATAGATGATAATGATAGGATAGATGAAGCACTAGAAAGAGCAATTCCTAACATAACAAAAGCAGTTGCAACTTCAGTGGTTCTAGCTATAGCAGTGACTTTATTACAAGATGCCTGATCACCAGAGCTTTGATAGCCATCTGATCAGGCCTCTCAAATATTAGGGTGCCCTAGTGCTCATAGCTCTCAATTCTTAATGGATCATTCTTCTACAGTGATCTCAAACTTCTTGTAATGAACTTCACTGTCGAAGGAGATTTGTAGCGAAAAATAAAAAGTCTTCTCATTTGTCAGTTTGGGAGTGGAATTGAGGTGCAGTTCTAGATTGTTTGCATCCAACTTTATCCACTCAGGTATAGCATTGGAGCCAGTCTGGACCAGACTGAAGCTGATATCAGTGAAATTCATTGATTGAGCTCAGGCCCAGGTGAATTCCAATTTCACCGATGAGTTACTCTGAACAGTCTGGATGTGATCTTGATTCCACAAGGCCACGTACCTGGTGAAAGGAGGATTAATTGATGGTGTGATATCAGTGGTCGTGATGGAGGGTGAGATTGAGACAGTAATAGTCTTCGTGCTTGTTGTGAGACTTGGGTTTGATGTTGTTGACGAAACCTGATAATTAGTGGTAATTGGGCTGAACAGAGGAGTGTCTTCTTCAAATTCAGAAAGCTGTTCGATGTTATTTGTGGGTGATCTTGCAAAGAAGAATGTGTAATTGGTATTTATTCTTCCAGAATGATACATTAACTCTTCACCTTTATATAATAACCTTCCAAATCCATAAGCCACTGAGTCTACCGATTTGAATTCCTTCACAACTTTTGAGATCGAGGAGTTCACTAGAATTAACCTTTTGATGTTTGCCAATGAGGAACTGGTAATCTGGATGGCAACGAACTCACTGAACTCTTTCATTCAGTAACAATGAATATACCCACTGTCGTTCCAAATCAGTCCGGAACTTTGGGGACTCCCATAAGAGATGTTGAGTTTGTGGAAAATAAAGTTGTCATCGTACAATACCATTGTGTAAATCCACTCTTCATCTCTGCTCAGAATGGAGGTGCTGAATTTACTCCCTCAACCCGAAGTGGGACAGGCAATGCTCTTCTTCCAGACAGGGATGGATGAGGAGAAGTTGTAGCTCATCAGGTAGTATTGGTCAGCTACTGTGTCAGTTGATCCAAAGAATAACAGTTCTTCACTGACCGGAGCAAAGTTGGTATGCTTGTTAACTCCAAAAGTGAATCAGTCAAGATTGGGGCTTGACATGTCCCATCTTCAAGTGTGCATGATTAAGCTAGAAATGAAGCTTAAATAAAAGGCATTGTTCATTTCTATGTTTGAATCAGAAGTAATTGAGTCAGGGCTAACTGCTAACTCTCTGGAGATAACCAGGTCTGAAGTCCTGATTTCATATATCTTCCCTGTTGTCAAGTCTGGAATGTAGATGAAGTCTTTGCTCGGAGACATGGTGTAGGAAAGGTAGTTGCAGAAAATAGCATAAGTCATAACTTGCACTTTCGCCAGGTCAGGGTCTGACTTGTAGATTATTGTGTCGTATGGAACAGTTTGGCTAAAATACCCGATAAAGTAGAGTAATTCATTGCCCTGGTCTTCCAAAATATCGTAGAGATAGAGGTTGGTAATTCCGACCATTCCGACCATTCCGAAACTCCCAGAGAGTGGAGATCCAGCTGTCTGGGCGTCGTTCTGGCATACATTGGCTGTAACAGCCATTATGGATAAGAGAAAGATACTGATACCGTTCATATTAAATATTAATTATATAATGTTCAATAATTTATTTAGCGTGGGGTTTTGGGGTTTTGGGGTTTTGGGG